TGGAACATCAAAAACTATGGTCATTTACTGCCACCAAATGACCACCAATAGGAGGCTAACAGGAGGTTAATGAGGGGTGTAATAGGACCTGCTAATAGCTAGCCAATAGGTCATACAGATGGAGCTCCACTGGCCACATTGGTCAGCTGTAATGTTAGTGGCAATATTGGTCACTCTGAGCTTCATCAACCACCAAAATAGTCAGAGGGTGGCTTTCGTGATTGAGCTTTAGTGAATAATCTGGTCAGTTTAAGCTTCAGTAAAAACAGTGGTCAGCTGGAGCTTTAGTGACCATACCGATCAGCTGACAACTTGAATAACCACACTGGTCAGTTTGGGATTTGAGTGAACAAGCTGGTCAGTGGGAACTTATGTGGTTTGAGTCACCAAATCAGTCTGCTGGAACTTTGAATGACTACACTGGTCAATTGGGGATTGGAGTGACAATGCTGGTCAGTGGAACTTTGTTAGCTTGAGCTTTAGAGGAGATACTGAGCAGCAGGGTGGGGGAAGGGGAGCTTCAGTGACCACACTGGTCAGCTGGGGTTTAGAGAGTCTGCATTGGTCAACTGGGGCTTTCAGTCACTATACTGGTCACGTGCAGTGTTCCCCACTGTAGAAATTTCATTTTGAATTGAACCTGTATTAAGAGACCACCTGTGTTGTGAGACCACTTATACTGTTCCCCATTGTAGTAATTTCATTGTGAATTGAACCTGTATTAAGAGACCACCTGTGTTAAGAGACCACTGTTTGGACTTATTCCAATGGTGGTCTTTGATACATTGATATACCTAAGTCAGTTTCTGGCTACAGCGAGCTACCATACTGTCAACAGCTGTTAAACTTACCAAGGGATTACAGGGATTACATACACATTGACTGCTGATTTCAAAATCAGCCACAAATTTTAAAGAAGATTAAGCTATTCTCTTTGTATTCAAGGGAGGAAATCTTTGTCCCGTAGAAACTCATTGATTTGGATATTTGTGGGGCTGTGTAGTGTAATTTTGGTGACTGTTGATTGCTATAATAATGCCATCACTACTGTCTACCACCATGTGTAACATTCAATTATACCAGTCAGGTCTCATCAGATGAAATTATAAAAGTCTCCTCATTAAAACCATAAACTGAAGTTCCAATCAAAATTGTTATCACACTGAGAAATCCAAGATGGCAGCTGCCACAATCTGACGTAATGGTTTCCATTTAAAGGGCATTTCACCCACATAGCCAGAAGTGATTTTGTCATTAAATGGTTTTTTGGTTTGTTCAACAAAGAAGAATTACTAAAGTCTTCATCATTCATAATTTCCAAAAACCTTTTGAGAGTTTGACACCTTGAATTTCCTGGTAAGACGATGTTAAAAAGAGGAAGAGTGTTGGTGGTTAATTAGAATTTTACTCAACATATTGAATTTTTTCTAGTTTGGTTACGGAAGGCCCATCATCATCACCACTGTTCAAATGGTACCAGGAAATCTCACGTGATAATTGGAACTCTCAGGGGTGAGGGTCTCATGTGATTGGTGGTTTCTCATTAGCCTAATATGATGGTTGACTCATTCACCCCTACATATTTAATCTGGACTTGCCAAGTCTTTGATTTAATAAGGTTCAAATGTGACTTTAGGGGTGAATGGGTTAATATCGAAGCAAAGCTAATCTCACATAATATGTGTTTTTTAGTGAAGATATTTTCTCCCACCCTTCACCGGTGTGTCTCCCGTTTTAGCCAGCTTGTCACCCCTAGGGGGATATAGTCTTGTACCGATTAGCATGTGTTCAATTGTGACGTCATTAAAATGTGTCACTGGCAATTGTGACGTCATCAAAAGTGAATGACGATATCCATANTGTTTACAAAAAGAAACAACTGTTGGCGGAGTTGTGACTGAAATAATAAAATGGGAGAAAAATAATCATCCCCTACCTTGAGGGTGTAACAGCGAAATCCCTACCCTCGGGGTGACTTTTTTGGTTGTCTATCTCTTGGCAGAGCCTCGGGTTAGACAACCAGAAAACATCACCCCTCGAGTTGGGGATTTCTCGGTCGCACCCTCAAGGTAGGGGAAGATTCTATTAATCTTACCCTGGACTAATGTATCCACACTTTTCTCAGTGTGAGATTGATATGATTTTTCAGTCCCTTTGTAGTGAGATAGGAAATCTCAACCCGACAGGGCAGATTCTGAAGAATCTTTCCCTGGGGTTAGGGGTTCCCCATCTCACCGCAATAGGGTGAATGATTCATTTTCGTTTACCCTGCATGTTGACTGAGTCATATACATAATGCAATGTTGCTGTTACCGACTCAATTCCTTGCTGACATGATATTAATGAATTAAGGGACATCATTGTATTGTTGACATGATATTAATGAATTAAGGGACATCATTGTATTGTTGACATGATGTTAATGAATTAAGGGACATCATTGTATTGTTGACATGATGTTAATGAATTAAGGGACATCATTGTATTGTTGACATGACTTCATACAAGGGTTTTGACCGTAATTCCCCTGTCTCAACCTTAGGGTGAGACAAGAATATCCCACACTGAGAAAAGTGTGGATAAAGTGTGGAGAAATCCCTGTCTCACCCTAGGTTTAAGACCAGGGTTTTGACCGGAATTCCCCTGTCTCAACCTTAGGGTGAGACAAGAATATCCCACACTGAGAAAAGTGTGGATAAAGTGTGGAGAAATCCCCGCCTCACCCTAGGTATAAGACAAGGGTTTTCTTAGTTATATAACAATTGAATGACATCATATCCACATGGCATTGAACCTGTAATGTGAGCATTGTATTATGAATATCGTAGAGACAAAAGACAGCAGGGTAAGAGAAAAAGAACCATGTTTCCCTTTGGGGTGAAAAGGAAGAATCTCAACCCTCGGGGAAAGATCTTCCTTTCTCCGACCATTTACAGGGATATCTCCAGTTTTGCTTGTTCATGATTCAGGCCTCAGATGAGACAACCAACAAAACCATCCATTGGCTTGAAAATTCCTCTGTCACACTATCAGGGAGGGAAAGATTCTATTAATCTCATCCTCAAGGAGGTGAAAGGTTCTAGTAATCTTGCATGACGTTTTCCCTTTCCGGTCTCATATGACATGTTTTGTTTGGGTATGAAAGCTAGGTAATAGGTGTGTAGATGATTAAGTCTGCACATGCTACAAAATAAAGCAAAAGTATACTAAGAAGTAGATATTGACGAATTGATGTCTTTCCTAAGCAGTTTGGGTCATGTAATGTCAATCACAGGGGTCAATGTCATGTAATGTCAATCACAGGGGTCAATGTCATGTAATGTCAATCACAGGGATCAAGGTCATGTTATTTTAGTCACAGGGATCAAGGTCATGTAATTTTAGTCACAGGGATCAAAGTCAGGCAATTTCAGTTACTGGGATCAAGTTCATGTAATGGCAGTCACAGGGTCAAGGTAATATATTTGGCAGTCACAGGGGACAAGGTCATGCAATTTCAGTCACAGGAATCAAGGTCACGTTATGGCAGTCACAGGGAACAAGGTCATGCAAGGTCATTCACAGGGGTCAAAGTAATTTAATGTTAGTCACTGAGGTCAAGATCATGTACAATGTAATTTCACTCACAGGGGTCAAGGTCATGTAATTTCAGTCACTGGGGTCAAAGCCATTTTGTTTATGTCACAGAGGTCAATGCTGTGTAATGTCAGTCACAGGGAACAAGGTCATGCAATGTAAGTCACAGGGATTAAGGTCATGCAGTTTCAGTCACAGGGGTCAAGGTCATGTAATTCCAGTCACTTGGGTCAATGTTACGAATTATCAGTCCTAGAAGAGCTCTGGACTCAAGAGTATGAAGACATACAACTTTTGGACACCTGTACAGGTACAAAATGTAAATAGGGCCAATGTTAGCTGTCAGGTAAGATGAAATGGTCACTTTGTTCTCGCTGTAAAAAATATCAGTACATAATTGTGTTGGTGTGTTTTTCTTGTAGACTTGTCAGTTATCATCCGCCTGACACACGAGGTGTCACCCAGTACAGGTGTGGCTTCTTGTTGACTTAATAATCAGATAATTTGGGGAAAAAATGAAACCACACAGGAATGTGGTGTGTACTTTTTAAATGAGTAATAATCTGAATATATACTGTACATTAGAATCTCCCCCTCATACACAAACACTTTAACATGTTCACCCTCTGACAAAAGGTTCACTTCAGACATAGTATTCAGCCTTAGCTTCACCTTTTATAGATGAAAAATATGTGAACCCAAAGACAAACTGTGAACCTTTTATAGATGAAAATATTAACCCTTAGACAAAATGTGATTCCTCAGGCAAAGATTTACTTAATATAAAATTACAGTATGCTGTTCATATGAGAGTGGACCTCAGACTATAATTTAACATTCAGAAGAAAATATATGCTAAGAAAACATAAATGATATTATTAGATAACTAACTGTTCAAATTTGCACATGCTTTTTGATAATTGATACAGAAATTTCTTTGACATTTTTGGTATGAACAGAATTTTCTTCAACATTTTTGGGTATGACATTCAGCTGCCCATGTAGAAATTCAGATTAATTATAATGAAGACGAAAACAAGAATAGAATCTAAAATGTCAAGAAAATTAATCAATTTTGTAAAGGTGAGCTCCTGATTACCAAGTACCTAAGTACTTGAAATAGCAAGTGGGTTTAAAAAATCGGATATGATAAGGCATCAGAGATTTTTGACATCTCTACACTTAGTTTTCAAACATCACTTCTGCTTCACCTGCAACTCAGACAAGTGTAGACTTTTAAAACACAGTTTTTAATCTTAAACCCTGACAAACTCACAAAAGCTCAGACTGAGTGTTAATCTTTTTTACGAAAAAGATATATATCAAGATATAGGTTTTAAGTGTTTTATCGAAGCGTGTCCCCTGCAGCAGGCCTTATGTTGGTGTAACATGACAATATTTATCTATAGGACAGTGATTCCAGGGTCTTCTCCTAGTAACACTGGGGACCCAACATTTTAAATAGATACGTAACATGTGACTACGCAGGGAAAAAACTGTATTGATTTTACTCGGTGGCTGTATAGAGCCGATTTCTATAGCACACTAAGTCGAGTGCTGCTAGATTTCATGTAAGGGGCAGATTTTAACGTTTTACTTTAAACTGGCTAGAGAAGGACCTCTGTAAGATTCTGACAAAGTGTTAATTCTGCTCACGCAAATAGAATTCGCTCCATTTGGTGAAGCAAAGCGACAGTTTGTAAATTTCACTGACGGGCTTTAATGTGGAGACGGTACATGAAAAGAAATTCTTCTCGCAATAATTCATCCAACTTGCCGAGGATCGCATAAGGTAAGTGGTGTCTGAGTAAACAAAACAATAATTCCCCAATTATTTCTTGCCTTTTTAAATGTATAGGCACGCTGTTACTACCCTGTAATAGATGGGTGATTTACAACACTGGGCAGATCCACACTCTGCTGTAGCCTGTTAGACAATTAAAGAAGAAATCTGTTGATGGAATGTGTATGCATTTTTTCATGTTATAGAATTCTATTTTGAAAGGAATATTATGTAAGCAATTGACAGACGAAAAAATCAATAATCTCTTGAGGACATTTTAATAAATTCTGTAATGACAATTGAATTTTTTTTCTTGCATACCTATGACTCACCGAGTATCCGATGCATTGCATAGATAACATTATAACACATTGCGTAGTATTGCTTTTACACAAAAGCAATATAGAGATGGTTCTTAAAGAGAGACGATAGAGGTTATATGAAGTGTTTTCTGGTGACATGCTTCTGTTTGCTAAAAGCTAGAACATGCATAATACATTATATACATGTATTATATTTGATAATCATGATTAAATTAAGGATGTATGCTATGTACACACTAGGAAATCTCATTCAAAAGAGTTCCACATAGATAAATCTTCTATTCCAAAAAAGCTCAATCCACACCAATAAATCTCCTTTTTAAAAGAGTTCTACTATAAGAAACTTGTAAGATGAAGATTTAAACTGTGTTAATACATTCATTTATAAATGTCTTAAGAGTTAAATTGCTACCTTGCTATACCCGTACAGACCCTTAAATATATTTTATCCCATCCATCGTCCCTTGAAAGGTACACAAGAATGCATGCATTAATTGATAAGATTCAGGTATCCTTCTGTATCATGAGAAAATGCTAATTTATATTGTGTAAGGTAACATATTCCCTTTATGCTCCTGTCAGATAATAAGGTTCCACCTATTTCCTAGCTACACTAACATCTAAAACCCAATGTACAAATACTTGAAGAATTCCATTTCTACAGATATGTTCCTACAGAATATTTATTCTAAGACTTATTGATATGAGATTTCTTTTTTTTTGTAAAAGATCTCTTTCTATATATTTTGATTTTGTTAATCTGTTCACCTGGAATCTTTTTTTTCCGAAATTGACATTCCTATTAGATCTTTTTCCTTGGATATTTTCTGCAAGATTTTGTTCTATAAATATATTCTAGCAGGCTATGAGATCTTTTTCAGTTTGATCTGTTCTTGTGAGATATGTTTCTGCGATACTATCCATGTATCTTTCTTAGCATATTTTTCAATTTTTTTTCTATGTGGTTTATTTTTATGAAATGTGTTCTTCTGTGATCTGTTTTTCAAGATTTATTCCCAGCTGTTTCTGTGAGAATTGTTTCTCTGAGATTTATTGATAAGAAACTATTTCTATGAGAAATGGAATTGTTTCTATGAAAGCTGTTCTATGAAAACTAGTTTTTGAGGACTATTTTTATGAGAACTGTTTCTATGAGAACTATTTCTATGAGAACAATTTATTGGAAATTGTTTTAATGAAAACTGTTTATATGAGGAAAGTTTCTATTGGAAATTGTTGCTATGAGAAATATTTCTATGAGAACTATTTTTTATGGGAACTGTTCGTTTGAAAATTGATTCTATGAAAGCTGGTCTTATGAGAACTATTTTGATGAAGACTATTTCTGTGCAAATTATTCCATGGAACTTATTTCTATGAGAACTGTTTCTATGACAACTATTTCTTTGAAAAGTATTTCTATGAAAACTGTTTCTGAAGTTTGAAGAATTTTAAGCTGACAATACAATTACGATTAGTAAATGTGTGTTTTGTAGAACATCATTTTCTATATGTGACACCCCCTTTAATAACAGGAAGTGAATCATCCATCATACTTGTCACTTCAGCACAGAGTCCCATAAAAGGTCTGTCAGCCACTCTATCAGAAAAGTCCCCAAAACATGTGTTAAACTTACAATAGCGAATCAAATGTTTTCAAACAGTGGTGTATGTTTTTCTACTGACAGAAAAAAACAGAATCTGAATCAGGATTGCTCACCCTGGCACATCAGTGCTGTCATGCATAAAATGTAACCCCCTCCCCTTATAAAAAGTACTATAAGCATGTATATTTCAGAGGTTGACTTATTTTAAAGATTTTCATGCTTTAACTCATTCACCCCTGAAATTGCATTATGACCTATTCCATCCTTTGAATTGGAAGAGTTTAAATGTGCCTTCAGGGGTGAATGAGTTAACTTTTGTGCTAAATTATGATAGCAGTAATTATTGCTTCTGAAAAAAAGTCATCTGTTGCATAAACTGTGGTACACCAATTCATTGATAGGCTTATCAGTTAAAATTCAATTAATTTGCTAAAATTTGAATTTCATTAAAATAAGTGTGTTTACAGCATCAGGTACTTATTATACCTGCAAAAATGTTAACTTTTCACGATGTTTAAACATGTTCTACTTCAAAATATATTATATTCAAATATTATAAACTTAATGCAAAATTATATCTTCATTTTACATCATCTTGCATGAGGGCAAGAGGGTAGTTACTTGCTCTCCCACATATATCTTCATGCTTAACTCATTCAACCCTGAAGACACATTTTAACTCTTCCAATTCAAAGGTTGGAATAGTTCATTATGAAATTTCAGGGGTAAATGAGTTAAAATTGTACAGCTTCTTGGGGGTCCCCCAAAATTCTCCATCATTGGAACCTAGTTTCAATTTGCACCCCCTAAAATCAGTTTGGTCGGGCTTCAGCTTGGAACAGGAGGAGTAAGTTAAGAGAGAAGTTGAGATAAATTTATAATGTAGCAGAGCAAAAAAACTTTCAATGGGCCACACCGAAAGCTCAAATACAGGATCCCCGTATTCTAAACATGCCACATAAGCTACATTGTATGTTGTCACCTGTGATTGGCTTGGTCCAGATTTACTCCAATAAAAATGAATTTGTAAATGTGACAATGTTTCCTGTAGAAAGATTTGAACTGTCAGCCTTTGGATCATTGTTCCCACGCTTTATCAGTTAGGACATTGACCTAGCTAAGTTGTTTAATGCATCAGTTTGTTTTCAAAAGATATTTTACTCATGATGAATTTCATTCAATTTACATGATAAACATGAAACCACATGCTAAGATCTTAAAAAAATGTATGTGATGTAGTAAATTGTGCATGAAATTATTAAGGAAACTATACGCATCAATTTAATCTAATGTCTGTTGCCTAATGTCTATAACTTATTTGTGTTTCAACTATCAACGTAGAAATATGTTTATTTATATAATCAAATTTTGTAATAATTTTTTGTGAATCCTGAAGAATTTAATTGAGCTATTTACGAGTTTAAAAATTCTGCCTGTAACTTAACAATTGATTTTGGATATACTTAACATCTTAAAATAACTGTAACGGTGTGATTTCTTTTCTATACAATATCCGTTCAGTCCTAGATCTCACAATGAACATTATAGATCTCACAATAAACATTATAGATCTCACAATAAACATTATAGATCTCACAACAAACATTCTTGATCTCACAACAAACATTATAGATCTCACAACAAACATTCTAGATCTCACTACAAACATTCTAGATCTCACAACAAGCATTCTAGATCTCACAACAAACATTCTAGATCTCACTACAAACATTCTAGATCTCACAACAAGCGTTCTAGATCTCACAACAAACATTCTAGATCTCACTACAAACATTCTAGATATCACAATAAACATTTTAGATCTCACAACAAACATTCTAGATCTCACTACAAACATTCTAGATATCACAATAAACATTTTAGATCTCACAACAAACATTTTATATCTCATAACAAACATTTTAGATCTACAAACATTCTTGATCTCACAACAAACATTCTAGATGTCACAACAAACATTCTAGATCTCACAATAAACATTCTAGATCTCACAACAACCATTCTAGATCTCACAACAAGCATTCTAGATCTCACAATAAACATTATAGATATCACAACAAACATTATAGATCTCACAATAAACATGATAGATCTCACAATAAACATTATAGATCTCACAACAAACATTCTAAATCTCACAACAAACATTCTAGATCTCACTACAAACATTCTAGATCTCACAACAAGCATTCTAGATCTCACAACAAGCATTCTAGATCTCACAATAAACATTATAGATCTCACACCAAACATTATAGATCTCACAACAAACATTATAGATCTCGCAATAAACATTATAGATCTCACAACAAACATTCTAGATCTCACCACAAGCATTCTAGATCTCACAATAAACATTATAGATATCACAACAAACATTATAGATCTCACAATAAACATGATAGATCTCACAATAAACATTATAGATCTCACACCAAACATTATAGATCTCACAACAAACATTCTTGATCTCACAACAAACACTCTAGATCTCACAACAAGCATTCTAGATCTCACAATAAACATTATAGATCTCACAATAAACACTATAAATCTCACAACAAACATTATAGATCTCACAATGAACATTATAGATCTCACAATAAACATTTTAGATCTCACAACAAACATTTTATATCTCATAACAAACATTTTAGATCTACAAACATTCTGGATCTCACAACAAGCATTCTAGATCTCACAACAAACATTCTAGATCTCACCACAAGCATTCTAGATCTCACAATAAACATTATAGATATCACAACAAACATTATAGATCTCACAATAAACATGATAGATCTCACAATAAACATTATAGATCTCACAACAAACATTCTAGATCTCACAACAAGCATTCTAGATCTCACAACATTTCGTGTTATGTCTACAACCAATGCTGTAGATGGTGCATCAAATATTCTTGACCTAACAACAAACATTCTGGACGTCTCAAACAAAATTTCAGACCTAACAAAAAACAAGGGACATGCTTCAACATTCCAGACATAAGATTAACCACTTTAGACATCACAACATTCATGTTAGGTCTACAACA